AGGGTTGAAAAATATTGAAGTCTTTAGGGTTGTAATGATGTTCATCAGCTTTTACTATCAGGAAAAGCTTTGTGAAGTCAGGAATCAATGCATTACTCAGCTCTCTCAGGTTTTCAGGTTTCGAGCTTTCGAACAGGTGAAATTCAACTAGAATCAGGCTCCGGTACTTAGATTTTGATCAAAACCAGTCTAGTAATGAAGCTGGTCAAAAACACTTCATTACACACCCCTCATACTTGCGGAAAAAAAAATGGAAGCTCTAGCTTCTATTTTTTTTTTTTTAAATCATTCATCACCAAAATATACACTATATACATTACCAACTATAAACTGGAATACTTATATACAATCCTATATTTATACCTGATCTGGAAATCAGCTTAACCTAGTCAGGAAATCTACAGCAGGACCTAAATGTAAACCATATCTATATACACTATCTGGAATCTTTTCTCACTATTCAGATTATTTACAACAGGATCTGAAACAGTAAAAAGATTAATATATCCTCCTATACTTACTATTTACATAAACGTCTGGATTTCTGGACTGGACTAAATCCAGACGTCTCTGGACCAAAGTGATCTGGAATAATTCTTGCTTTCCACTTGCAATTTTTCCTCTGATGACCAGGATTCCCACATTTCCAACAGATCCTTACTTCTGCAAAGTAGGAAGAATGGGAGACAGAACTAGGCAAGTTTGAAGCAGAGGCGGGTCGGACTGCTTCAAAACTAGAATTCCGGAAACAGGACTCGTCGGAATTCATCGTTGCGGATGCCTTTTTCTGTTTCCAAGCTGGATAACGGGACGATAGGAAATTGTCCGGACCTAATTTCCTATTTCTGTTCCTGGAACACTTTCGCATTGAACCTATATTAGTAGTACCGGTTTCTGTAATGATTTCTGTCACTCCATTGACAGTCTGGACATCATTACAGAACCTAAATTCCATCTGGACTGGAATTTCTGGAAAATCTGGAATTTCTGGAAAATCTGGATTATCTGGAACATATGCTCTACGCACATCTTCTGTATCCTCAGGATCTTCCAAAACATTCCTATTCCCTGAAAAATGTTGTAAATCTGACATTTCCGGAATATACGGATTAAATGCTGGTTCTGGATAATCTCGATTCTCTACACCCACTGAATGTGCTGAATATCCCGGATTCCTACTTTCAGGAATTTCCGGATGCTCTGGATACCCTGGATGTTCTGGATAAATTAACTCACTGAGTACTGGATTCTCGGAATAGTCTGGAGGGAGACATACACAATCACGGGATAAAACATCCCTCTGGCCACATCTGGAACAAAATATTTTTGGTTGGTTTCTGCAGGCACCTCTCATGTGACCATGCAGTCCACATCTCCAACAAACAGTCTCACTGTTTTGAAGTCCTATATTTTGTCTTCTCTTCTGGGTATATGTCCTGGAACTAGGTTCTTCATACCTAATCGGTTCTGGACAAAATGACACAGGTGAGGGTGGTGGCAGGTAGTGATAACCCTGGTAGGTTTGATATATCTCACTTCTCAGGCTCTCATATTCTAGAATTCTTGAGATAAGTGATGGTACATCCTGGAAATCAGTCTTTCTGATATACAGGCGGTAGTCTGGCAGTAAATTCCGGTATAGCCAAGTCAATTCTTGTGCTTTATCAAGAGTGCCTTGTCTTCGGATTAGTGTCTGCATGTCTATCACATAATCTCTAGCTGGTTCTTCCACTGTCTGTTTCCTCTGGATGATATCAATCTGGAGCTGTTCATGATATCGAAACGGAAAGTATGCTACCTGGAAACACTCTTTGAAAGCTGGCCAGGAATTCCAGTTTCCTTTATTACAGCGGTACCATAACAGAACTCTTCCTTTTAACAGGTCAGGTAATACATCCAAGAGCTGGTCTGGTTCTACTTTCTGCACGTTTCCCATCTCTTCTAGTCTTTCCAGAAAATCTACAGGATCTGTTGTTCCATCAAATTGCAAATTCCAGTGATAGGTGTTCAATCCACTAGAATAACACAGGACAGGAATTTCAGGACTATCAGGAGGTATGTCAGGACTCTCTAGAGTTGTTTCAGGATCATCCGGATGTGTTTCTGGACTACCTGGAGTTGGTTCAGGACTATCTGGAGGCTCATGTGGTTCAGGAATATCTGGTAAATCTGGAGGCGGTTTCCTCACAAGATTCTCAGGCCTAAGGGCTAATATTTCAGGAACTTCCACCCTCAGGAACCACATCAATCGGTTTTGTAGCATCTCCACAGGACCTTCAGTTTTTAGACCATACATTCTCAGTTCTCTGATTAATTCGGATTGGTTCAGGTTATATACCCAACTCACTCTTGGGTTCAAACCTGATATGTGCTCTCGGTAGCTCTCTGGACCTGGATTCCTCGATTTTTGGAGGTTCTCACAACCTTTACATATATCATCAACTATATCAGGGCCTAACATTTTATTCAACTGGTTAAATGAGCTGGAATGTCAGGATGATTATCAGGATGAAATATATTCGGAAATTAACGGATTTGTCTCTCTTGCTGTCTCAAAATTCAGTGACTCTCATAACAAAAAAAACATATACCTAGACTCAACAAATAACTTCTGGATATCTGGATTTTGATTTCATTTATAGCTCAAGTTGACTGGAACTGTTCTCTACAAAAATCAGGTTCAAATTTATAATCAACTCTCAAAAAACAAACTATACAGGTACTTTTCTGGAAAAATGCTATGATTCTGATTCCAAACAATGAAATACTGGTTCAGAAAAAAAAAATGTACTGGACTTGTATCAAGCAACTTTTCTGTTGAACAGGACTGGACTATTTTCTGATTCAATAACCAAGAAGTGCCTGCTCTAGGGCGCCATTTGTAAGAGTTTTTATTCTGGGGCCCTCACTTTGACGCTCTGTTCAGGACAGGAGACTACTCTGGTATTTGACAGGGGGGATTCTCGAGCGCCAGATTTTTGATAAAGGTGATTTACTTCACCTGCTCCTCCCAACTTAGTCGGGAAGGAGGCCCACAGTAGCAACAGTGGAGAAAGGTACAGGAGGTATACCTACCTCGGTACCCACAGTATAATCCAGGGGTCAATGGTATTGAATCGACCTGGAATCAATAAGTAGCCAAGGGAGTGTAGGCTTTAATTACAAACCCTGGGTCTAGCCTGGAATACTGGTTGCTATTTCTGGTCTGGATAATTACAGGAATCAAAGCAGAATATCTCTCAGGTCTTTGGTATTTTAAGGTTAGGTCTGGAATGTCTGGAAAATTATTTATTCAACTATTTCATTATTTCTACCTGGAGAATCGGAAACACAGTTCAAAACGAATTAAACAGATTCAATTTCTATTTATCTTTTCTTTTCCTTCGATTTTCCTAATTTTCCAATATCGGATTTTTAGTGAGGTTAATTAATTATATTTTTCCATTAATGTCAATAGTTCATGAAACATAGAACACCGCCTGACGGGATACAAAGCACAGAGACACCGGGGCACAGGACTGGATTTCTCAAGGAAAAGAAGAAGAAGAGTTGTTGACTGGCTTGTCAGTGTCAGTCGTCAGTCAATAATAATATTCTGCAATTTTGACAAATGAAAATATTGAAAATCACTAAATAAATTATTGAACTATTTGGAACTGAAAACAATGACAACAGGGAAGGAAATATGAAATATGCAATCACAAAATCCGTTTATTCAATTTAGAGTTCTGGATTCTTTACACAGGTCGGGTGAGTATCGGTGTGAAAAACAACAGGAATGAAATGAGGCTATAAACAGGATGAATAACACTGGTGAAAAATATACAAACTTACATGTGTAACAAACAGGAAATCACTATACAATACTATTTTACACTGGTTTTGAATGAACTATGAGAGCACTAGAGATCAGCAAGAGAATCAGGAGCTTGAAGAGCAACGGCGATCAGGTACTGTAGACTTGTAGAGAAAAGCTTAGAGAGAGTCTGTGTCTGTCCCGAATCCTTGGCTGTCTTCAGTATTTATGCACTACTTTGGCCTTGACACAAGGACAGGTGAATCTGGAATCTCATTGGTCAAAACTCCCACCTTGTCATGGCTCATGGCCATGGCCACTAGATCTGTCCTTGAAAAACACATGTGCACCTCCAACACAAAACGCGGAAAAAATAATATTACACCCTAAATGGGTACAGGAACAGGATCTACTACCTTTGCTTATGCTACTGAATGAATTTGGCTGGAAAATATTCAATAACAACAAAGTTATGAGCAGTTAAACATTCATCATTTCAACTGATAAATAATTCAATCAAATTTCATATCATAAGCAAAGGGTTGAAAAATATTGAAGTCTTTAGGGTTGTAATGATGTTCATCAGCTTTTACTATCAGGAAAAGCTTTGTGAAGTCAGGAATCAATGCATTACTCAGCTCTCTCAGGTTTTCAGGTTTCGAGCTTTCGAACAGGTGAAATTCAACTAGAATCAGGCTCCGGTACTTAGATTTTGATCAAAACCAGTCTAGTAATGAAGCTGGTCAAAAACACTTCATTACAGTACATAATGTATCATCTGCCCCAGTTCTACATGCTGCTCGAATACGTGCATCCCAGTGTGTGCACACTGCCCCAGCCGTTCATGAAACTCTCAAATTGACTGGAAGAAAAAAATCAAAAGAGCTATATGCATTGAATATGCGAGTTTCTATATCTGAAACCATTGCTGATGTATTTGTTGCGTCAAAGGAAACAATTTTACAACTTTGGCATAAGCGATTGTGCCATCAGATTGAACGTTATGTCATGGAAATTAGGAGGCAATATAATATTCATGTAAGAGCACATGAGGAATTTTGCGAAGGTAAGCAGCACAGAGCTAGCTTCAGACCAAGGCCGAATATACGTATGGAACGGTTGAGTTTCTTGAAATCACAAGAAATGATCAACAGTACTGCCAATTCTAACGAGAAGGAACTTCTGATAGTTTCATATGTCGACGATGGACTTGTCGCTGAAACTGACATCAGTCAAACTACGTTCACAAACTGTCGAAAACATTTTGAATGACTCTGATTGTGATGCTGTAATAACCCCATGTGGAAGAGATAAACCTAATGAGAGTGGGGATGATCCAGGTAGAGCACATGCCCCTCATCGTGAAGTTGTGCATAGTGTTATGTAATTGGCAAACATAACTCATCCCAATAATACACAAACAGGTAATTTTCCTACAGAAACATCAAATAGTCCCAATATGACAAATTGAAATTCAATTCAGCCAAACGTGTTCTGAGATATTGAAAGACAACTGCATCACATGGATTTTTGCACCAAGCTAAAAAAACTGATGTGAAAGCTTATAGTGATGCAGACTACACTGGTGATAGAATAACACGACGACGACAAAGTGAAGAAGTATGTCAGAATTCAGGAGCTGCTATAACATGGATGAGCCACAAATAACGCAGCGTTGTACTATTGTCACGAGTAGAACATACGGTATATCAGTAATTTCGAACCATGAGGGTTTCATAAACATAAAGTAAATCAAATCATCCGTTGACATTGAATTATAAAAACTGACCAAGGAACTCTCATGAGAAACGTGCATTTCTAATAAAATGATGTATATAAATATTGGAAGTGAGGGTTCCGAAGTTAGTCTGGTCTGGGGCTACTCTTGACTTGACAAGAGCTCGTCGTTATGGTCTTTATAATGTAAGTTGTTATTCAGTCTTTATATTCATTGTTGTTTATTCATAATTGTTATCGCTACCCATAATGTTTCATGCTATTATAAATATTGTTATGTTTGAATGTAGTCTCGTACTTTCAGTTACCCCTAAACTATTAGTGCCTATTTGAATATTACCTCTCGCAAAATATTAAGCCAAGCATACCCCTTATAAATCGATATGGTGGGAACACAACCCATTTGTTGTGACATGGTGGAGGCGCCTAAGCTTCTTTCCTTGAGTCTCATTCCTCATAATGGACTCATCAATTTTTTTTTTGCATACATCGATTTATGTCAATTTTATTTTTCATACAAAGGCACTAGTAGAAAGGGTTATTTGAAAGTAATTAAGTATAGCAGCATGAATTATGGGTGATAACAAAGTAAGAAAGTCATTTAAATTAGAAATCCAAAATTTTTTCAATATTTTAAATACCATTAAGCTTGAAAAGTTTAATAACAATCATTCCATTTCTATTCAAAGACATGATATAAAGCACCGGACCAGACTCACAAAGTTTGGAGCTTATCTCTGAACTTTGTTATTTTTTTTCTCTACTCCTAATTTTCTATTTGAATTTGGGAACAAGTTTTTCCTATATCTCATTCTTGCCAGTTTTTTATTTTTCATATCAAGATAATTTCAAATATTTTTATTTTTAGTTGATGAAATCATTCAAGAAATGCAATGCCAATGCCATGAACACTCAATTGAGAATATAATAAGTCATTCACAACGTGCCTATAGTTTTATAACAATACGAAATGAAAACAATAATAACAAATCATCGTGCTCGATATAATTCATAATAAATTTCAATATTAGTGCGAATGCAAATAATTAATAATTCAAGTAATAGTTGAGAATGTTTCCATTCAAAATAACTTAGTCAGTATATATATGACCTTTCAAATATTGAAAATACTCTTAAACGTTGGTATCGTTTACCATTTTTTTGTCATTCCTCCTGAAATGAATTATACGCAAATATGATATTATGATGTCATGGAAATATGATATGTAATGAATTAATTGAGCTCAAAAATATTGATGTGTATGTAAACTCTCAATGAAGAGATTGTTACTTGGTTTCAAGTGAAAACCGTTTCCGTACAGAATAATCATCACCCTATTCAGCATATCTCGTGGTCCTAACCAAACCACATCCAGAGAAGTAGCTGTTTGGTTGATATTCTAAAAAGTACGAAGTGTTATAGTTGTAATTATGCACTATAACAGTAAATAGGAGGGAATCCTGGAAGATGTGCCACACTAAGGCATGAAGGATTAACCTTACTGAATATATTTTGTCCTCGAATTGATAGGACATGAAATGATGATTTAATGTGGAATAATGAGCTCGTATATGATGATTATGTTTATTTATGAATTATGAAGATGATTATAATGATATTTACCCCCGGGGATGATTTTCCGAAAATGGAAAATATTTGCGAGTTGTTGAACAAAGAAATGTACGGTCTAGTTCTAACAAAATTGGAGGAATGAGCATGCGGTATTTTTAACAGGGGTATTTTCAATCGGTTCAATAATGTATAACTGATGAAATATCACAAATTTTATTATAATAAACTATCTACTACTTGAATTCATCGAAACAACGAGAATAGGGGAATTGATTTTTTTTTTTAATTGAATAAACGCCAATATATTTGTGAAAGCGGTTACACCAAAGATAAATAAATAAATCGAATAAAGTTCTGATAATATTTCATATTGAACAAAAAATAATATCAAGGGCCCTTGAGTCAAAATATTGCTCAAAGTACATGGAAGTACCAATTCTCGGACGGTTCATCAGTTCATTCAAGCTGCCAATAATGAGTTGTCAGATGAATATCCTTTTAAATCTTACGGATTGGACCTGGAATGTCAAAAATGATCAATATGTAAGTATGAAATAACATGGTGATAATTTCGATAATATATTTATCAAATAGGTAATTTTTTTTTATGAAATTTTTCAACGAGAAGGCACGTTGGTTTGTTCACATGACACAAGTTAATTTTTTAACCATTATTTCAATTCACCTGTTAATATATGAATAATTTTCAATTGGCAATATTGGCAATTTATTTCAATCTCGTGTTTGAGAAAATATTTTTCTTAAAGAAAAAGCATTCAAATCCATTGAGATTTTAAATCGAATAGAAACATAAGAAATTCATCATAATACCGCATATGTAAGAAATTAGGTATATAGGTAACTCATAATTTATTTTTCGATTATTCAATGAACTATTTCTTTTTTCAATCATAAAACTTCTTCTAATGATTCATTTTGTTTTTTGCTTTCCAAGAAAAGTTAATACGATTTTCAGATGTCTCTGATAATCAACGAGAACTTTTCTGCAATACGTATACATTGTAATATCGCATATTAGTAATAAAAACTAAAGCAGGTATTTTGACGAACTCGCTAATATAAAGAAAATAATCATGAACTTGACACTGTGTTCACGTTACTTTGTGTTAGTTAATATAATATTGTTTATTTTGATCATAGGCTTAATGATGAATCATGCTATATGAGAAACTCGAGAAAGCATGTTGATGTTTTCACAATAAAATAGAATAATGATAGTTTTAGGAAATGATTTTTTTTTAAATAAATTCATAATTGATAATTACGCACCAAATTCATAGATTGACTCTAGTACCATATTCAGTAAATTATCAGAATCATCAGAAATTGATGGAACAAATAGAAAAAATAGGGGATTCATGATGTTGAAAGAGGTAGACAGCGGATCTCAACATAGACAATATATAAATGTCCATGTTATATATAATATTTTTCACTTATTTTGCGAAACACTTCAACTTATTCGTATGATAATATTATATAGGCTTATGTAATCACTACTCATTTCATTGTAAATAGATATCTACTAGAAATATTTTCTTCTTCATATGTTTCAACGAAACCACACAAAACAATGCACCCACAATGAGCACTGGAAAACAGCACGCATCAACATATCAGACACCCAGGGGGATGCAGCCACGCAGCCAAATGGCCAAACATGGACAAACCAATGACCGTTTGACTGTACAGCGTGATTCGATGGTAGTTGCTGGGTAGCCTAGGAACGAAGAGGAAACAAGTAGGAATGCTACAAGTTGTGGATATCTCCTAGAAGTTTGACGTTGGGAGACCACGAAATTCATTCCACGAGATTCCTGATCAGCCTCTGCATTGAGACGAATGGACCAAGATGTTGTGCCGTCATGACAGCAACTGCTCATCAGTCGTCATTCGCTACCCGAAGCAGCCAGCAGTTCCTCCTCCGTTCAGCTGCCAACTACCTCGAATGGCAGCCTAGGAAATCTTAAAGCCCAAAAGATTTCATCCCGATGCCCAGGACAAGGATACCTTCGAGCCCAAAAGGATCCTGCCGAAATTTCCATGACGATTGGAGGATGCCATGCCCAATCGTCATTCCCTACCCCCAAGCTGCCAGGAGTCTCACCGAGAAGAGTCTGATTGAAATGCTTTAGTTGAATAGCCAGTGCCGGACTTAGTGAAGGTGTGAGTGTGCATTGTAGACACTAAACTTTTGAGTGTGTGAACTCACTTTTCAAGACTTATTGATTTTTGTCATCTGAGTTTTTTATGTATAGGTTCTCCTCGATATATTCAGATAGGTGATAATTCAAAAACTGGGGTCCAGTTTTCTCGGAGAGAGGGGTCATGTCACGAGTAGAACATACGGTATATCAGTAATTTCGAACCATGAGGGTTTTATAAACATAAAGTAAATCAAATCATCCGTTGACATTGAATTATAAAAACTGACCAAGGAACTCTCATGAGAAACGTGCATTTCTAATAAAATGATGTATATAAATATTGGAAGTGAGGGTTCCGAAGTTAGTCTGGTCTGGGGCTACTCTTGACTTGACAAGAGCTCGTCGTTATGGTCTTTATAATGTAAGTTCTTATTCAGTCTTTATATTCATTGTTGTTTATTCATAATTGTTATCGCTACCCATAATGTTTCATGCTATTATAAATATTGTTATGTTTGAATGTAGTCTCGTACTTTCAGTTACCCCTAAACTATTAGTGCCTATTTGAATATTACCTCTCGCAAAATATTAAGCCAAGCATACCCCTTATAAATCGATATGGTGGGAACACAACCCATTTGTTGTGACACTATCATCAACGGAAGCTGAATATATTGCTGCTAGTGAGGAATCTGAGGAAACGATTCGACTGAAGAGACTTCCTGACAAAATATAGAATCTCAGATTTACACCAACAATACTTATGGATAATATGAGCGCTATTAAATTGACTGCATTGCATTGCAATGTGTTTTCACTTCGTACGTCATGGATCGCATTAAATTGCATATATCATAACGAA